AAAAGTAACAACTTACCTACGTTACTTTTTACTTTTCCTTTCCCTTCCTCCTCTCTCTCTCTCTCTCTCTCTCTCTCTCCTTCTGCACTTGGAGCAACCGGATCGGGACGAGAATTTCACACGTGTGAAACTGTTGATCGGATCTTCGGTGACCGATAAAATATTTAACGAAGAATCGAGTTTATATATTTATAGGTGGAGTGGAGAACAAGCCTGAAATAGATTGATCATTTATTAACCGGCGATAATACACGTTCGAAATAAATCGTATCCTCCTCGAGCTATCATAATACGCGCCTATTCTTCTCGATTAATTTTCCTCGAATTGAATTGTATACTTGGATTTCTTCGCGTCGACTCGAATGTACAAATGTGCCAATTACGTGATTATTACGATGCGATTTGAATTGGAAATTGAGTTAGAAATTGTTGACAAATAGCGGAGACGCGTTTAAATATTGTTTACCAACCTATCCTTTGCACGCTTTACACCACGCTTTACAACGTGAAAGTTAAACTTTGTTCCTGGAAACTTATTATCGTATAATAAAAACGACGGTTTCGTTGAAAAAAATTAATACAATTTTCGAAATATTAATTGTACAACTACGAAATCATTGTTTCCTCTCACCTTGAACGTGTTCTTCGAACAATGATTCTGAACATTCAAAAAAGGAAGAAAAAAAAAAAAAAAACAAATTTATTAAAATTCTTCGCAGCCAGATAAAACTTGAATAATTGAATAAATTAAAGGAATTGCGAGCAATCGCAAAAACTAATTTCAAGTGTTTCGAAGGCAGCATCAATATTTGACGAGCAAGTTTTGCGGCGAACGGTAAGAAAGGCCGGGGTTAAAAGATGGCGCCACAAAAGTCGGTCTGGCGACGAATTAAATAATCATGGGAACCGGCCCATTCAACGCTCTTTTTAATCCCTCTTCCAAGATGGATTTACAATCGTGCCGACTACCTTTCCTTTCATCTCCAACAGTTCAACCCCCGATTTCCACTCAGTTTTCCACTCGATATTTTCTACATCCAAGAAGCCGAGCTATATATTATAATATTTTCGACGAACAATATCTTGAAAAATATGGGAACTGTCTCTGAGGAGTAT